GTCTTCAGTTTGAAACCGATAAATCACTTGCATATTTGTGTAGTGATTCAAATGGAGCTAAGACCTCTCCCATCCCAACATGTGGTAAATTGTAAAGTCAATGAATTGCAGATGTAGGCTACAGTGAGATTCTCTAAGAAAATGCAGAATGAATGGGAAAGAATGATGCTATAAATATTTACTGAGAAGATAACTAGATTCCTGCGTGCTGGGCCAATTATGATGTACTAAATATATTAGTAAAATGCTTAAAAAATGGAAAGGATTTGTGTGGGTCTTTGGGTGGGTTGGTTTGTTTTGGAAAGTGAAATAAAAGGCACTGTGTTATTGTCATGTCACTTTTATTGAGCCTGCATCACAATGGCATACCCAGGGAAGGACACATGAAACCCACATTAATGCAAATTAATTCGTTATGAGTTGCAGCAGTGTGACTGCTAAGTGGAGTAATGGGGCATCATTTTAAGAGTGTTAGTGTAGCAACTTTTAATGAAAAATACTGCATGAAGAACATGTCTCAGCACTGCAGCCCACGTGTTTTTATATACTAGAAATGTGTTTTATACCAGAGCGGGGAAACTTCATTCACTTTTTTTCCTCCCAGTTTAAGAATGTGAATTGTGTTTTGATGTTTGAAGAAAATCGTCTAATTTTTCTCGAAAACCAACCCATTGATGCCCACTGCCAACGCCAAGTTCAACCTCAGCTTTTTGTCTTTTTGGCACAGATTGCAGCACAAAGTAGAAAAGCAATGAATGTAACATCCCCCATAGACCTGTAGATAAAACTTTCTTGAAGCAGTTTTTTCTCTTCTTCTTTTTTTTCTTCTTAGAGGATTTTGGTCTCAGGCAATGTTGCAAGTCAATACTTCTTTCCCCAAATGTGAGTAGGTGGATATGTATGGAAGCTGTAAAAGTTAATGATCGTTCTCTGACTCATAGCTGATGGTTTCAGGTTGAAGAAAAGAAAAAAAATTAATGAGGGTAAATAGACATTTGATGGAACACTGAGACAGTAGGAGAGATTGTTCTTGTGTCTGAGGGCTTGCATTTTGTTGCAGCAGGATTTCTGAAGGAGAACGCCAGGAAGTGAAAAGACACTGCCATTGTTAGATGGTCGGTTTAGGATGCTACAAATGTTTGTGTCTAGGTCCTTGCAAGAATATTTAAACCAAAGGACCTACTAGTTATCCCGGTTTTGCCTTCTCTCTTGAAGTTAGGGTCTCTTTGGTACTTTTTATAAGAACGGGCGGTAAGTAACACCAAAGTCCTAGCCAAAAGTTTATGTCCCATAAAATGGAAAAGCCTCTCAGCCTGCGATGGGGGTAGGGAGGGGTTGCGGACATAATGGTTTGTGGTTCTGCTACCTTGGCCCCTCAAAATGACTGATGACCTAGGAGAAGGTCTTAGGTATAGTAAAAAAAATGTTTTGTCCTTTGAGCAATGACGTGGAAATTAGACTTTAAGTGGCTCGCATAGGTTAGAGAAGAAAGCGGATCAAAAAACCCTAAGAAAACCAAAACCTCTTAGGAAATGAAAGTTATTTTGTAATATATGAAAGAAAAAGACAGGTGATTCATAAACCTAAAAGTAAAGCTCCATTTCATTTCAATTTAGTGGAATGAATAGGCATGAGAAATTAATCTTCATCCCACTGGAAGGAAGTTAACTTAGTGCTGGAAAAACCAACATAGGGCTTCAAATATTTTTTTGTGGGGGTTGCTTCAGAGGATGGTGATCCTGTGGTTGAAAAAAGCTGATTCCTCTTCCTCCCATCTCTGGGTTATCTCTGATGTTCTGTATCTGAAGCATCAGGTTTGGAGCCAGCAGTAGTGATTAGAAATAAAATGAGAGAACCTGGAATATGGTATAAGGGGAGTAGTTCATGTCATAGGTGCGGAGAGCTGGCCGGTCTTCATGGTTCTTTCTCTAGACCAGTGGGGCCTGGGTGGTAGAGTGATGGGGTGGAGCAGGGGCTGGACCACTGTGAACAAGCACCCGGAAGGGAACATTGTTTTGTTGAGTTTCATGGAAGGGAAGGGATGAAATGAAAAGTACCCTCGTGTCCTCCTTTGGTGGCTCCTCTGGGCGCTACAGGTAGAGAGGCACAGGTTAGAGCAGCCGCAGTTCCTGGATGAGGAGGTGAGGTGGAACCCTGCAGGTGACCCACAAGGGTGGTCTGGGAGGTGAGGCACGTGGGCTCCTGCTTCGCAAACTCCGCTGTGCCTGAGCCGTCTTGCCTGGATCTCTCTCCCTCCTCTCATCTTCCAACACACAGAAGCCAGCCGTCCCCGTAGTGTCTAGAGAGATAGAAACGATCGTTCCCGCTTCCAGTGCCAGGGTTTTGCTGGGTACTTGTATTTTATCTTTGCCTTAAAAAGCTGGACTAAAACAAGGCAACTTTGTGTTTTACAGGAAAAGCAAAAGCAGTTAAAATGTGCGTTTCAGAAGAGTATTTCTGGGAAAGGGGGGATGGAAACCAAAAGGAGAAATGAGAAAATTTTAAGTCCTCTTCACTATAATTGGAGGTCTGGTAGCTCAGAAATCTGTGCAATACAGTGGTTACTGGGTGGGAGTACAGAAGTGACTCAGACGGAATGCGCTGCCTGTGCAGGGTATGCGGTGGTGGAGGGTTTTCTGTGTTGCTGGACTCTTGAGAGGTTACCTGGCTTACGTGGCTTGGAGGTGTAAAATGGTGTGTGTGTGTGTGTGTGTGTGTGTGTGTGTAATGGAAGATTAAAATTAACACTGTCCTTTATATTGGGTTCTGTGCTCAAGTCTTAAGGAACGTGCAGCTGCATTTTTACTGTTTAATTGCAGCATTCTCTCCAGCATTGTTAGTGTTATTTGGGTGGTGATGAAGGGAGGATTAAGAACAGAACTGGACAAGTGAAAATTGAATTTGGCTTAGCCACAGTTTCATTAATTTATTCATAAGACTGTGACTATATGAAATTATTTTCCACGACATACCCTTAGTTATCAGGTGTCCATTCAATTTTAATTGACAACATAAGATTCCTGTAGTTACCCTGAGTACAGATTGCCTAGGGCTCCCGCAGGGTTTATGGGAAGAATAGCTTGGACAAGTTTCCATTAAGCTCTGAATCAGGCAATTGGAAAAGAGGAGAATAAAACCCCGGCTGAAAAGAGGGACAAGTTGTTAGTGTTGCTTGCTCTGCTCAGAAGAAGAGCTTCCTCTCAGACAAGCACTGCTCTTTGGCCAAGAATTCCAAACTCGCAGAGAGACCTGTCCCAAGCACAAAAGTTGTTTTAACACGATGCAAGATTGTCACAGTAATTAGTGCAATCTCCGTTTACTGACTGGCAGTTTTTACAAAAACTGGCAGGGGGGACAAAGGGTGCAAATGCATCTTTCTCTTTCAGCGACTCACTTTGGGTGGACTGGCTCTGGGTGTGCAGGGCTGCGGGGCAGCCCATGTGGGGTCCTCTTCTGCTGCAGGTTGTTCCTGGGTTGTTCTGGGGGAGGGTGGTTTATTGCTCAGCCTTGGCAGATATACTTTTTTTCCCCTCCCTGGCCACCTTTACTTTGCCTCTTATTAATCTTTTTGGCGCGCGCGCGCACACACACACACACACACACACACACACACAAAACAGATACAATTATCCCAGTACACTATATCCAAAACTGGATACTTCAGCCTTACTCCATCAGCAGGAGGGATTTAGACTACTTTTTATTTGATTGCTACCAGGTTTTGTATATCTTGAGTTAGTTCAAAAGTTCTTGTGTGAATTTTAAAATTTTTCCTTTTTTTTAAAAAAAAAAAAACAAACAGTGAACAGCATGATTTTTCTTCCAGGGACCAAGATACAATTTAACTGGGTCAACAACTCACTTGTAGCCCAAATTATGCTTTGTTCTAGTAACACAGAAATGTTCTGCTACTAGTAACAATATCATAGTAAGTAATAGTAATACTTGGTGATAACATAGTTCTGTGTCTGGGCATGGGATGAATTTGCCTCTTTCAACCGGGGGGTGGGCAGTGGTTTCCCAGCATCATCTGATTCCTCTTGATTTATTTCCATATGGCAAGTTAAAGTGGGTTTTCAGAGAACCACTGAGGTTCTTTAGTGATGATGGTGTTGTTGATAAAATAAATCAGCTGATGGTGTGTGTTTTCCCAATTGGTGGGATCCAGTTGGGGTAGATTAGCAAGTATTATTTGGGAAAATGAGAATTTGGTGGGGAATCTTGGTGTTCCTTTTTGTTTTGGGGTCCCCCTTCCCATGATGGGTGGTGTGCAGGGCTGCAGAGGGGATGGCTGAGCTGATGTAGGCCTTTGCCGTGGAGGGACTGGGGAAGCCAGCACTCACTAGTAGGTGGCCGTTCGAACACTGGTGGCTGTTGGGCACTGCGTGGCTCTCTCTTTGGGGAAGTGGGGATTACTAGAGTGCGGGCTTGCGGAGATGCTCTGGGCCGGTCGGCTTAGTCATTGTGAAAGAATGTGTAAGGCGCTGGGTGGCCCCTGAGTTCTGTCAAGCACATTTGTTTACCCAGAAATAGAACTGTGTTGGTGTTCCAGGGCCCGCTGATTAGAAATAGTGGGGAAGGGGCTTATACTTGTTGCAATCCTGTGGCTTCTCAGAATCCTTTCCTAAACTTTACTGTTGCCTACATGTTGCCATTCTGATGACTTTTTGTAGCAAAGTTGATTTTTCTTCTGTCTGCTGCTCTGCACCGTGGCTTCCTTTATGTTTTAATGGGCTTCAGTCCTTCTTTTCCTTCTCACTGATTCTCATTCCCGCCCCTCCCCCCTTTTGCTTATTAAATAGATGCTTTAAAAAAAAAAAAAAAAACTTGAGTATGATCATTTTATCCATAGCAACAAATAAAAGTACACAGGTCTTGAGTGAATGCCAAGGCTTTCAGTTTTATCTAAGAAGGTTTGTCTGCTATTCATAAACTGCTTAAGATGTTTTCTTGTAGTTTGTGACATAAGCAGAACGCTTTGATTTGGTTTCTTTCTACAGCTCCATTTTCAGTCCGGCAGCACACATTATTCTGCGTACAAAACGATTGAACACCAGATTGCAATTCAGGTAGGAAATGCAAGAGACTCTGAAGCTTGGACTGTCAATATGTAGGTCTCCTGTGCCTTTTCCTCTTTGCCCCTCCCCACCTGAATGATGATGATGGTGATGATGATGAAAATGATGATGATGCTGACACTGATGATGGTGGTGGTGGTGATGATGGGGGGTATGATGATGGTGGTGGCTGAATCATTGGGGGAGGTGGGAAGCAAAAAAAAAAAAAAAAAGCAGAAGAAATGCTGCTGCCATGATTTAAAGATATGGGAAGAAAGAGAAGCCAGTGTTTATTGTTACGAGTGTCTTGATCAGGCATCGTGGGCTCACAGACCCCACCAGCCTGGCGATTGCTTTTTGCTTAGGGAGGGGTCTTCATTTGGGAGTGAAATGCAGTGGCAAACTGTGAACAGGAAGAAGTAAGGGGGAGATGGGGGAGGAGGCCCGGTGAGAGCCAGAGAGAGAGTTGTTTCCGGTGGATCAGAATCACATTAAGTGGTGCTAAGAATATCACTTTTGACCTGATTGTCCTGAAATGTTGATTTCTCTTGGGCCTGTTGATATATGACACCGAGAGCACTGGAAGGGAAAGGCGACAGATCCCAGCTTCTGATGAGTGCCCTGTTTCCTGCTCACGTAGTACTTCTATTCTCTTAAATCCAAAGGCTAAACAAATCCTAGACTAATATAGACTCAGGGCTGAACTGAAGCCAGCAGAAAGCAGTCGAGGAGGGAGAGCAGACTAATACGATTTTCGTCTGTCTGCCTGGCCTTGCAATGCTAGATGTACTCCTGGAGCGACCGATGGTACCAGAACTTCTGGAGTGTTCTGGCATAACTCTTGGAAGGGGATCCTTTTGTTGCGGTGTGGAATTCTGGCTCCAGGTTCTTCTGTTCCTGTAGGTTGATGTTGGTTAGTGGGATTGTCCATGTTAAGTCACTGCTCTTTCATGTAGAGAGCCTTTGTACATCTTTGTGTGTGTGTGTGTGTGTGTGTATATGCGCGTGCATGTGTGCGTGCTACTGTGTGGTCTTGGGCACTTTTGCAGCCTTCCATCTTTGTAGCCTTGCCATTTCAAATCTGTATCTTCCTTAATAAGGCTTTGAAATAGTCGCTTGCCCCAGGTAAATGGAATTCTTCCACCAGTGAAAAATATGAGTCAGAAGACATTTTTATTTGGTGGATTCCTAGCCTTTTTGTGCTTATTTCAAGGCTACAGTAACTTGGTTTTAAAAATATTTTGATTACTTCTGTGGCTGTGCCTTGTGTGTATTTTAGAGGAAAGGGCCACTCTTGGTTTTACCCCCTCCGCCCCGGGTGTCTTCAGGACCAGTGTGTCCTAGGCTTGAAGCTAAGTTGCTCTTGCTGGCACACTTCCTGTTGGGCCCTCCTTCCTTTGGATTGAGGGCTAGTAAGCCTTGCTGTCTGAAAAAGCTCTGGAGGCAGGGCCCAAACCTTGATTCTGGCTGAGTGAGCGGATGAATACGCAGTGCCCCAAGGTGCGCCGCATCTTGGGGAGTGCTGGAAAGTCCTGTCGCCTGGGGTGTGGGAATTGTTGAGGCTGAATAGGATAGTGATCCTTATCTCAGTGTGGAAAGGCTGGCTGGGGCCGTGTCACTGGGAGAGCAGCAGAGACCAGACCAGCTGTTGAATCTTTACACCCAGAGTTGAAGTGCCCCTTGTTTGGCCTAGCAGTTCATCCTTCTCCAAACCACCTGGCACGGTACGGGCCATGTGAAGCTCTTTCTCGGGAGGAAGATGGAGTAAATTACAGAGCTCATTGTTTTGGAGAACTGAAGCCATCACTCTTCCTCCATGAACAGGTACCATTGTTCTGCCCTCCTCTATTTGCTGAGGCTTGGTGCCCATGTGGGCAAACAGAAAGACATTTTATTAGAGACCCAGTACCACGCTTTCAGCGTTTATTTTCCCTCAGTGTCTGCTAGGCCAGCACGAGACCAAGCCGAATGGCATCTAGCTGCAATTTTGTTGTGCTCATCAAAGGCTAAATGGCTAAAAACAAAAGAAGCAGAGGGAAAAAAGGGGACACGTCAGACAACATGAAATTGTTCTCCAGGTGTGCTGGACGGCTCCAGGGTGCAGTGCGAAGGGAGAGTGACCGCTCCAGTGCGTAGAGCAGGCTTTTTCCCTTCCCCCGTTTTCCTGGTGCAGGCTTAACTGCAGCCCAATTGTTGGTAGAATTTTCTTCCTTGGAAATTTAAAACTGTTTAACCTTAGTAAGTACTGCGTTTCAGTCCGAGCTGAGCTGACACGTTGCTCTCCTAAGCTAGATCCTAAAATAACTCCCGAGTAGTATGACACCGTGCATCACATGAGGTTCCTACCCTCTTCCTGTCCCATCTCTGTGTCCTCCCGGGACTCTGCCAAGTTCCCTGTTTCCATGAATGGACCCTGAGTGGTTCCGTAGGTATGTCAACGCCCTCATTAAAACGTGGACCCAACGGCAGTTGCTGTGTTGCGCTCCTCCCCGCTTTTGACAGTCTCCTAGCTCCTTGTTGTTCTGAAAAGACAAGGGCTACATAAGTGGGCATTCTCCCAACATGCATAACACAGATGCAACTGGGGTACAAATGAAAAGAACTTTACAAAAGGACACGGTTACTTAGTTCGGGTGCTGGCGATCGAACCCAAGGCCTGTTGCATGTGAAGTTCAGGCTCTGCACTGAGGTGGTTCCCCAGCACTCGACTTTTTGGAAGTGTCATTGCAGTGTGATTTAAATACAGCGTGCCACACAGGTCTTCACGCGAGAAGCGGATGAACTTTGACATGTGTGACCATCCGTGAGACCATCACCAGATCGATGTATAGATTGGGTTGGCGCATCCTTTCTGGAAAGGGCTAAATAACAGATGTGTTCAGCGTTTGGAACCGTGTTGTCTGTATTGCAGCTATTCAGCATGGCTGTTGTGGTTCAGAGCTGCGCAAAGGTAAACCTAAAGGAACGTGGCTTGGTGCCAATAAAACTTTATTTGTAAAAACAAACTGGCTGGATTTGGCCCCAAGGACTTCAGTTTGCTGACCTCTGATCAGAACTCCCCAGAAGTCTCCCTGGTTCTCCTCTCTTCCAGTCATCTTGCTTCTCTTCCTTCTTTCCCTCCTTCCAGTGAAATTTCTCACAGGGCTTAGTTTTGCCTGCATTTGGGCTTCATGTAAATGGAATCACACAGAATGTACTATTTCATGTGTGTGCCTACTCAGTGCTACGTTGATGAGTTGTATTCATGTTATCACGGGCAGCAAGAGATTGTTCCTTTTCATTGCTGTGTAGTATTTCACATGGGAAATATATGGCACATTGAAATATGCCCCAGTGTATTTATTTCTTCTGTGTTATTAGCTATGTGGATTGTTTCCAGTATTTTGCTGTTAAGAATAAAGCTCCGTGAACATTCTCAGACATATCTTTTGGGGAATGTGTATTTCCATTTCTGTTGTTTGTATACCAGTAGTGGACTTGGAGAGGTAAACGTGTGTTTACTTTCACACTGACCTTTTGGGAGACCTGAACACAGAATTTTGATTGTTGTCATTGAATATTAGGTAGGTGAAGCGTTTTAGGGGGGCAATAAAATGATCTGGCTCCCATGAACTTCACCCACCATCCCCGATAAACTGGGAAGACTATAGCAGGCCAAAACTGAGCTGAGCCCAGGCTGCAGATTTAGAAATAGCTGTCTCCCAGGAAAGCCCTGCAGGTGAGTAGACCAGTGCTCAGGCCTCTCTGTTGCCTCCCCAAGGGATCTCTTCCAACACTCCTCCTCTCATCATTATTCCAACCCTGAGAGCTGTGTTGTAATCAAGGTCAGGACCCACGGAAGATGTTTCCCTTGGTTTTCAGAAGGGCTACTTCAGAACCAATTAAGCCTTTGTTTTAAGAGTATTTTGGCCAAAGGTTGATATTTTAACACTAAGTCAGATGTGATTTAGGAAAAAAACTCCACATGGAGCAAAAACAAACTGTGTAGACTTTTCTGGGTTGTTTTTCTTTGAGGATGTGAAGTGGTTTGTGTGTGCATGTGTGTGTGTGTGTGTGTGTGTGTGTGTGGTATGCTTGTGCGTGTGCGCAAAGACAACTAAGAGAGGATCCAGAAGAAATGGACCATTTTATTTGTTTACACAGCTGAGCGGTGGAGACTGCAGTGGGTGTTGCGCTCTGTCTTGTCCTGGTGTGTGCAGACTCCATCTGAGCCTTCCTGAAGCATAATCCTTCTCCTTGGTCTGAGACCCCTCCACCATGGTTCACTGTGGCCAGTAGGACCCTCTTCCAGGGCATGGGTGTGCTGGAGGCAGGGAAAGAAGGCTACAAACAGGAGAATGTCCCTGTACCACACGGGCTCTTTATTCCTAGCTGTGAACTGGGTATCTTGTCCACATCTGAACTTATGAGGGTTCCTGAGATGCCGTGGCTTGGAGTCCACCTCTTTATCCATGTGATGAGTATGGCCAGAGATGAGTAGCAGCGCACTCAGTTGGAATCTAAGAATGAGGTGGCGGTGTTCGTAAGGCCCCCGTCTCTCTCTAATTCACATTTCTGATGGTGGTCTCCTGTGTTCTGGGCCTGTCCTCGTACCTGCCACGAGCCACCTGGCCTTTTCATTGTCATAAAGCTTTGCAGGTCTAGGCTGGATGGTGAACTTCCAGAACCTCATTCAGCTCTTGGCCCAGTGACTTCTGTACTTTTCTTTTAGTCCTGTAGCAGATACTGGCTGTGATAGTGCAGGTCCATTTTCCAGAAAGAAATGAACAGTGTGTGCATATGTGTGTGTGCATGAGTGAGCTGGAGAGGGGATATTACCTCACTAGGGAAGTTTTTGAAGCCTGTAAGTGCCAGGTAACTCACTCAGGAGGTTCATTCACTTAGAGTAGTGGTGACTTTTAGCCACATTGTCCAGTTTAAGTCCATACTTGAGAATATTCATTGACAAAAATACATGTTGTGCATCTACGGTGTGCCAGGCCCCTGGGGAATTCATCTCTGAGCAAAAACAG